ATATGGCACTAAAAAGGGGGTTGGGGGTATACCACAGTAATAGAGCACTTACCTAGATCTCCCCAGTGAGGGACTAGGGACATGGCTCAGTGATAGAGCACTGGCCTAGAATCTCCCAGTGAGGGGCTGGGGGTATGGTTCAAGGGGAGAGTCATTTGCTAGCATTTGCTAGACCCAGGGTTCCATCCCAAACACCCCAAAAGGCAAAAACTCGTGGGTCAGTCTAGTGACTATGAAGAATCTTAGCTTAGTAAGTAAACTGTCTGGGTTCAGATCCGGGCTCTGGGCCTCAGTTTCCCTCGCCCTTGAAATGGGGACGATGGAACATCGGCTGTGCATGCTCATAAATGTTGGTCCTTGCTGTGAAGTGGCCTGGCAAAACTCCTGTGGCAGGTGCAGCCTGGGCCCTCAGCTCACTGGCAACCTGGCCTTCTCCCTTCCTCCCTGTCCTTTGTCCTGCTTCCCAGCCCTAACTTCAAGGAGGAGGAGGAAGACAGAGCTCAGCCTGGGTGGAACATTTTGCCCTGGCCTCTAGCTCTCTAAGGGCCCTAGTTTTGAAAGGGAGGCCCAGTCCCTGAGGGTTCCCAATCAGGACAGGGCAGTTGGACTTGGGCAGATGACCTGGGGTGGGGCGAGGAGAAGTGGAGGAGGGACAGGCCAGCAGGACTAGAGCTCAAGGTGAGACAGCAGGCAGGGCGGATGTTACTGACAGGCAGTGTGGCCAGAGGTGGCCGGCATGAATCGGGGAATAGAATGACCAGGGCAGAATGGTGGCATTAGTTCTAATGTTCAGAGTAGAATCTGGGGCAACAACTGTGGGGTGACAGCAGCACCCCCCCCCCATTATTCACTGGCTATGTTCTAAGGTATCCTCCTCGAATCTCTTTGGGCCCATGGCCGTTCTAGATTCTGTTTATACTATTTTCTCATAGACAAATGGACCTAAGAGAAGACTTAATTATAGATTAGGTACAAACCAGGCCGATAACTCGTGCACTTAGAGGGTTGAGGCAGAAGAATCAGGAGTTCACAGCCAACCTGGGCTACACAAGACCCTATTTCAACAACAACAAAAGTGAGGAGTGGTAGCACATACTTGTAATCTCAGCCCTTGGAAAGCGGAGGCAGGAGGATTGCTACAAGTTCAAGGCTAGCTTGGGCATATAGTGAGACCTTGTCTAAAAAGCCAAACCAAACTTAAAATGCAGAGACAGGAGGATCTCTGAGTTTGAGGTCAGTCTGGTCTACATAGTGAGTTCTAGGCCAGCTGGGGCTACACAGTGAGACCCTGTCTTCTCCGCCCACCCACCCACAAACCAAAAAAAACACGCAAAAAAGAGTAACTGCATTAAGTACAGAAACGATGAACAATAAAAAATAGAACCATTCTAATAATAAGAGTTATTTATAACTTACACGTTTTGCCAGGTGTGGTGGCTCACGCCTGTCATCCTAGCACTTAGGAGGCTGAGGCCGGAGAATTGCTATGAGTTTGAGGCCGGCCTGGACTACACAGTGAGACCCTTTCACAGAAACAGAACTGGGGAAGGGCTGCCTTGGTAGAGAGCTTACCTAGTGTGCATTAAGCCCTGGGTTCTATCCCCCCATCAACCGCTTAAGTGACTCCCCTGCCCCTGGTTTTTTGAGGTAGGATCTTGCCAAACCTGGTGTTTGGCACACACCTGTAATCCCAGCATCTGGAAAGTAGAGGTGGGAAGATCAGGAGTTTAAGGTCGTCTTCAGTTACATAGTAAGTTCAAGGCCAACCTGGGATGAATGAGACTGTGTCTCAATCCAACAAAAACCCAAAAGGCAAAAAAATTTTAAACATTTATTGCTGAAGTTTTCCATGCAATATTTTCAAGCCATGGAAAGCTGAGCTATGAGGAGACTCCTGTAAAATGTCAGCTGGCCATGAGGTGGGGACACTGGGGTGGGAAAAATTGAGGGACTGGAAAGCCAGATGTGGTTAACACTGGCCTGTAATCCCAGTGCTTGGGAGGCAGAGGCAGGAGGAACAGGAATTCAAGGTCATCCTCAATCCTTGGCTACATGAGACCCTGTCTCGTGGTTTCCCTCTCTTAAAAAAAAAAAAGACTTGGGGTTGGCTCAAGTGACAGATGAATTAGGATGTTCGAATTCAAGATGTGGGATGGGGTCAACACAGTTGAGGCTGGCAGTTGGCAGTGTTTTGAAAAAAAGAACGCTGGGGTGGGTGACAGGCAGGCCTGGTAACCTTGGCTCTATAGTGTGTTCAAAGCCAGCCTGGGCTTCATAGACCGCTGTCTCAACAAAACAAGAAGACAGGATCTTGCCAGGCATGGTGGTGCACGCCTTTACCCCAGTACTCTGGAGGCAGAGGCAGGCAGATCTCTGTAAGATCCAGGCTGGTCTGGTCTATGTACCAAGTTCCAGACCAACCAGGATCTTGCTATGGAGCCCAGGCTGGTCTGGAACACACTGTGTAGTGGAGAATGACCTCAAACTTCTCATCCTCCTGCATGCACCTGCACCACCACACCTAGTTTGTGTATTCTGGCTGTAGAACTCCGGACTTGATACATACTGGGAAGGTGCTCTACCCACTACTGAGTCCCAGCCTCTGCCTGAGGCCTCTTTGTAGAGAGGTAGAGGACCCAAAAGCATCTCTGTGGCCTAAGTTTCAAAAAGGACACAAGGGAGCAGTGGCCAGGGACTCCAGAGAGCCACCCTGGCCCTCAGGTGCCACTGGGCTGGGACAGGAATGATCTGAACCACACTCTTCTCTCCACACAGCATGGCACCTTGGGCAGCGGCCGATCTTCAGATAAAGGGCCATCCTGGTCCAGTCGCTCCCTGGGTGCCCGCTGTCGCAACTCCATCGCCTCCTGCCCTGAGGAGCAGCCCCACGTGGGTAACTACCGCCTATTGAGGACCATTGGGAAGGGCAACTTCGCCAAAGTCAAGCTGGCCCGGCACATCCTCACTGGCCGGGAGGTGAGTGTGGGATGACAGAGGGGTCAGGGCAGGTGGAGGAGCAGTGGGGCTCAGGGGCAGGGCATGCTGGCAGGGCTGCCCTGTTGGCTTTATGGCCTCAGGTAAGTCCCCTACTTGCTCACATGTTTTCTGAGTGGGCCTAGTGGGAAAGAGAACTAATTTCAGGGTTGCCTAAATTGTGGGGATATCTCAGATCACAGGTGTTTCTCCCCTCCCCTCCACCCCCTCCCCTCCCCTCCCCTCCCCTCTCCTCTCCTTCCTTCCCCACCCTCCCTTTCTCTTCCCATTTGTTTATTTATTGATTCATTGTGTCCTACATACACTTGACTGTGGGCAGAGTCCAGAGCAGGATGTCTAGTCTCTTTCTCTATGACTCTAATTTTTCGCCTTGGGATAGGGTGTGGCTTCAACTAGGCTGGGCGGCTGGTCAGCAAGTTCCTAGCATCTTCCTTGTTCCCCTCCCAATGCTGGGGTTCCAGGTTCTGTACAACTATGCCTGACTTTTTCACATGGGTGCTGGGAATTTGAACTCAGGTCCTCATGTATACAGAGGCAAGCACTTTCTCAACTGAACTGTCTCCCAGGCCTGTCTCTTTGGTTGTTTTCTTTTTTCTTTTTTTATATATTAATTTTCTTGTTGGGCAATTTCAATACTATATAGTCCAATTACTTTTTCTACCACCACCATCCCCACCATTGCCTTCATGTTTAAGTGTGTTGAGTGTATGTCTGTGTATGGGTATGTGCACATGTGAGTGCAGTACCCGCAGAGGCCAGAAGAGAGCATCAGATTCCCTTGGAGCTGGAGTTACAGGCAATTGTGAGTGGCCTGACTTGGGTGCTAGGAAGCGAACTTGGGTCCTCTTAAAAACAAGAGATCTTAGCCGGGCGTGGTAGCACATGCCTGTAGTCCCAGAGGCAGGTGGATCTCTGTGAGTTCAAGGCCAGCCTGGTCTGCATAGTGAGTTCCAGGACAACTGGGACTACAGGGAAGACCCTGCTTCAAAAAGACTAAAAAAAAAAAAAAAGAAAAAACCCAAATGCGTTTAACCACTGAGCCATCTCTCCAGCCCTATTGTTTGAAGACAGGGTTCCCATTATGTGGGCCTGGTTGACTTCAAACTCTGATCTATCTGTTTCAACTTCTTGAGTCCTATGCACTTGATTGATTGATTTTTCTGTATTGATTTAGCCACAGAAGCAATTGTTTTATGATATGACGCTTGTCTGGAACCTACCAGTGAGGGGCTGGGGACTTGGCTGAGTGGTTGAGCAGTTTCGTGACACATACGAGACTCTGGGTTCCATCCCCAGTGGTACATCAACACAACAAAATATAAGAGCCAGGCGTGGTGGTACGTTCCTTTAATCCCAGCACTGAGGAGGCAGAGACAGGTGAATCTCTGTGAAGTTGAGGGCAACCTGGTCTACATAGTTGAGACCCTGTCTCAAAATAAAATAAAATAAAATAAACCCTAAATGAAATGACAGGCTAGTATTACTTATCAATGTAAATATAAGTTAAAAACCTGTTCTTTTTGAGACAGAGTCTTGCTAGCTTACCCAAGCCTGGCCTCAAACCAAAAATCTTTACTTTGTAAATTTTCTCCTTTTTCTTTTCGCCTTTATTTATTTGAGGGTAGGGGCATAGGTATGCCACAGTACATGTGTAGAGTTCAGAGGACAGCTTGTAGGAGTCAGTTTTTCTTTCAACATGTGGATTCTGAGGATCGAACTCAGGTCATCAGGCTTGGCAGCAAGCCCCTTTACTCACGAACCATCTCATGCCCCCCCCCAATAGTTATTAACAAATAGAATCAACAAATGCCAGCCTTATGCTGGCAACTCTGGGCCCCTCCCAGGAATGCCAAGTTCTTTCCCGTTTGACAATTTATTCCTGCGCTTTGTCACATTCACAGATGAAAGGAGAGAAACCATATGATCGTCTTGGTACTGGCATGAAAAGTGCCTGACAGAATTTTTTAAAATCCATGTGTGAGAATCTGAGGAATGACAGGGCCCGCTCCCCGCACAGCACATGCTGTCCCCCGTGTGGCGCTCCAGCCACATTCCAGAGGTTGCTGTCTCTCTCTCTGTCTTTCTTTTGGTTTTTCTTTTTTCTTCTTCTTCATTTTTTTGGTCTTTTTGAGACAGGGTCTCCCTGTAGCCCCAGTTGTCCTGGAACTCACTATGTAGACCAGGCTGGCCTTGAACTCACAGAGATCTGCCTGCCTCTGCCTCCTGAGTGCTGAGATTAAAGGCGTGTGCTACCACACCCGATATCTTTTTTCTTTTTTTAAGACAGGGTCTCTCTCTGTAGCCCCTGCTGACCTAGTACTCACTGTGTAGACCAGGCTGGCCTTGACCTCACATTGCCCTGTCTGCCTCTGCCTCCCAAGTGCTGGGATTAAGAGTGTATACCACAATACCCAGCTCTGTTTTTAAAATTTTTATTTTTGATTATGTGTATGTGTGTGAGTTTGTACCTGTGTGAGTGCAGGTGCCTGAGGAGGCCAGAGGGCATTGGATTCCCTGGAGCTGGAATTATAGGCAGTTGTGAGCTGCCAGATGTGGGTGCTAGGACTGAACCTGAGTCCTCTGCAAGAGCAACCAGTACTCAACCCCAGAGCCATCTTTCCAGCCCCTGGTTTTTATTTTATTTTATTTTATTTCGTGTGTGTGTGTGTGTGTGTGTGTGTGTGCGTGTGCATGCGCTCATGTGGTAGTATAGGTTGACATTGGGTGTCATTTTGTTGTTTTGTGTTTTCTTATTGTTTTTATTTTTGTGTGGGTATGAGTGTATTGCCTGTGTGTGTGTAAGTGCAGCCATATCATGCAACCCCCACAGAGGTCAAAAGAAGGCATCACATTCCCCTGGAACTGGAGTTACAGACAGTTGCTAACCACCATGTGGGTGCCGGGAATCAAACTTGGGTTCTCTGCAAGAGCAGCCAGTGCTCTTAACTGCTGAGCCATCTCTCCAGCCCGTTTTTTGGGTTTTGAGACAGGGTCTCTCTGTAAGCCCCAGCTGACCTGGAACTCACTATGTAGACCAGGCTGGCCTTGAACTCACAGAGATCTGCCTGCCTCTGCCTCCTGAGTTCTGGGATTAAAGGAGTGTGCCCCATGCCTGGCTCTTATTATATTAATTATTATTATGTGTGTGTAATGGGTTTGTGAGGGGGGTGGTATGTGCACATGCCATAGTGCGAGTTTGGTGGCTGGCAGTCCATTCTCTCCTACCACAGGATCTAATTCAGATTGTCAGATTTGCAAGGCAAGCACTTTCACCTGCTGAGCCTTGCGGGCCTGCTGCCTTGGATTTTGTGACATGGTCTCTCAGTCAACCTGGAGCTCACCAATTCAACTAGAAAGGCTGACCAGCGAGCTCTGAGGATCCTCCTGTCTCCAATCCCCTCCCCCCTTTCCCCCAACTGCCGGCACTCCCCCCAATCGCTGGGATTATAGGGTTAGCTGCCACACCCGGCTTTTATGTGGTTGCTTAGGGGCCCAAGTCGGTTCCTCTTGCCTGCATGGCAAGCACTTTACCGACGACCAAGCTGTCCCTTAAACTCCTTTTTTTTCTATTTATTTACTTGTTTAGTTTTAAGTCTCTCAGAGCCCAGGCTGGCCACTTAAACTTCTGATCTTCCTGCATCCACCTTCCTCGTGCAAGGGTTATAGATATGCGCCAACATACTTGGTTCAGTTGAAAAAAATTTTTTTTCCAGAGACAGTGTCTCATGTAGCCCAGGCTGGCCTCTACCAACTGAAGCACATCCCTGGCCTATTATTGAAAAACTTAACAATACTCAACCCTAAAAATAGAAATTAACCCTGAGTACATATAAGAAGTCAGCAAAATTCTGCCTTTTTCTCATGATGACTGCCTCAAAAAGGTTTAATTTTAAAATTTTATGTGTATGAGTGTATTGCCTGCATGTATATAAGTGCACCTATGTTGTGCAATGCCCAAAGAGATTAGGTGAGGGCATCAGATCCCCCAGAACTGGAGTCATGGATGGTTGTTACCCATAAAGTGCACGTTGGGAATGGAACCTGGGTCTTCTGCAAAAGCAGCCAGTGCTATAACCTCTGAGCTGTCTTTTAGCCTCAACCAAACAAAATGTTTTTTTGGTCTTTTTGAGATAGGGTTCTTCTGTAGCCTCAGCTGGCCTAGAAATCACTATGTAGACCAGGCTGGCCTTGAACTCACAGAGATCCACCTGCCTCTGCCTATGGAGTGCTGTGATTAAAGGCGTGCACCACCACACCCCACCCAAAATTAAATTGTGTTTAATAAGAGTTAGACTCATCAGGCTCCATAACCTTTGCCAAGTGACTGTGTGCCTTAGTTTCCCCTTCTGTAAATGAGGATAACTTCAATCCCTCACACAGGGATTAGAATAGAGCCTAACACTTAGTGGGTGCTCAATCAGATAGCTAGATATGGGCCAGTGGGATGGCTCATGGGTAAAGATGCTTTCTGCCAAGTCTGATGACCCGAGTTCTGTCCCCAGGACCCATTTGGTGGAAGGAGAGAACTTCCACAAGTTATCCTCTGGCCTTGGATACACATACCTACACACAAAATAAACGCTTAAAAAAAGACAGTTATAGGGACTAGAGAGATTGCTCAGTGGTTTAAACACTGGCTGCTCTTGCAGAGAACTGGGGTTTGGTTCCCCACACTCACATGATGACTCACAACCATGTTACTCCAGGAGATCAGATACTCTCTTCTGGTCTCTGCAGGTATTGCACACACATGATGCACATGCATGCTTACAGGCAAAACACAGATACACACAAATAAAAAGAAATTCTGGCTGGGCGTGGTAGCACACGCCTTTAATCCCAGCACTTGGGAGGCAGAGGCAGGCGGATCTCTGTGAGTTCAAGGCCAGCCTGGTCTACATAGTGAGTTCCAGGTCAGCTGGGGCTACAGGGAGACCCTGTCTCAAAAAGACCAAAAAAAATTCTGGTCTTTTTGAGACAGAACTCACTTTGTAGACCAGACTTGAACTCACTGAGATCTGCCTGCCTCTGCCTCCAGAGTGCTGGGATTAAAGGCATGTGCCACCACGCCCAGCAAATAAATATTTTTAAAATGGCTCAGCAGTTAAGAGCACTGACTGCTCTGGCAGAGGATCCAGGTTCAATTCCCAGCACCCACACAGTACCTAAGAATCACCCTTAACTCTAGTTCCAGGGGAACCCGAGGCCCTCTTCTGACCTCCACAGTGGATGCACTCACATACATGCAAGCAGTATACTCATACACATAAAATAAAATAATAAAAATAATAAAAAATATATTTTTAAAAAAGTTATATGTGATCCTGTAGTTTGCCCAAAACAAAGCTGGAATGAATGAATGACCCATAGTACCATCACGAGGGGTACCTCGGAATCCAGGTCACCCACACACATTCTCACGTGGACCTCAGGAGCTGCCTCTCGCAGACCCGTCACAAGATAGGAGATAGCTCCCTGCAGGAAGGTAAGGGTGAAGGTGGAGACGGGGAAATGCCATGTGCGGAGTTCCTGAGGTCCTGGCTCCCCTGCCTTAGGAACAGCCCAGCCCAAACTAAGGGCTCTTTGGGGAGAGGGGACAAAAGAGGCACATGCTGGGAGACCTCTTTCCAGGTCGAAGGCCTATGGAACCTGACCTCTTCCTCTTTCCTTTCACCACCTTTAGGTCGCCATCAAAATCATTGATAAAACACAGCTCAACCCTACCAGCCTGCAGAAGGTGAGGCCGGGAGGGCAGTGAGGTAGGAATGAAGTGCCAAGCGGGAGCTTGGTAAGGGGATCCCCCTAACCATTCACCCTCACTCTTGTCTCTTTATCCTTTCTGGCTTCACTCAGCTGTTCCGAGAAGTTCGCATCATGAAAGGGCTCAATCACCCCAACATCGGTAAGGAGGGGGTGGGAGCCTGGCCACCAGCCGGAGCCCTCAGGAAGGGAGGAGAGTCAGGGATACACAGAGCTGTGACTGTAATAGACTGCTGTGTGACTTTGAGCTGATCACATAACTTCTCTGTGCTTCTGTTTCCTGTTCTGAGTGAGAATCTATGTTAAGATCATTTGTAAGGGTTAGCCACTTATTCAAGGCTAAGCTGGGGTGTGTGTGGCCCCATGGCCTTCCTGTGAACTGCCATCTTTGTTGTCCTTAGGCAGAAGTGACAAAAAGAGTGGTTATTAAGAGGATCCTGGCCTAAAGGTGGCAGCTATTACTTTCTCGTTTTATTTATTTATTTATTTATTTATTTATTTATTTATTATTTATTTATTTTGGTCTTTTTGAGACAGAGTCTCCCTGTAGCCCCAGCTGGCCTAAAGCTCACTATGTAAACCAGGCTGGCCTTGATCTCACAGAGATCTGCCTGCCTCTGCCACCCTAGTGCTGGGATTACAGGTGTGCACCACCACTCCCGGCACCCATTTTTTTTAAACAACCCAGTAAATACTTGCTGCATAACTGCCAGGTACCAAGGACCGGGATGCAGTGAGGCAGGCACAGACCTCCACCCCCCACCAGGCCTCATTGAGCTGAGTTTTTAAAAAACATGGTGGCGCTCACTTTTAATTCCAGCACTCGGAAGGGAGAGGTAGGTGGATCTTGGTGAGTTCGAGGCCAGCCTGGTCTCCATATCAAATCCAGGCCAGCTAGGGCTACAGGGAGATCCTGTCTCAAAAAAACCAAAAATAAATAAATAAATAAAAATAAATAAATAAATAAATAAAATATATTTTTTTATTTATTATTTTTCTTTTATGTGTATGAGTGCATTACTTGCATGTATGTAAGTGCACTGGTGTCATACAATGCCCGTGGAGGTCAGAAGAAGGCATTGGATTCCCTGGAACTGGAGTTATGGATGGTTGTCAGCTGCCATGTGGGTGCTGGGATTCAAACCCGGGTCCTCTGCAAGAGAAGTCAGTGCTCTTAACCACTGAGCAACTTGGAAAATCTGGCCACTAATCGGGAGCCATTGAGGGTTCTGGATGGGGTGTGATGATTGACTGGCCTATGGTTGGTTATGGAGTCTAGGTGGAGGGTTGTGGGCTCCTCCATTCCTGCCTGACCCAGGTCCTCCTCTTCCACCCTGGCCAGTGAAGCTTTTCGAGGTGATAGAGACTGAGAAGACGCTGTACCTGGTGATGGAATATGCAAGTGCAGGTGAGGCCCCAACCCAAGCCCTGCACCCCCATCCCCTCTTGCTCCTTCCTTGACCCTACCTGACCTCTGTCTGCAGGTGAAGTGTTTGACTACCTCGTGTCGCATGGCCGCATGAAAGAGAAGGAGGCTCGAGCCAAGTTCCGACAGGTAATAGGCCGAATGCCTCTGGCCCTCTCGGGGGGACATCTGGGTGAGGGGTAGGCACAGGCACAGGGATGTTCCCTGCTTAGGTGGGCACAGGCTGTTCAGACATGAAGGGACTCGGGAGCAAGTTCACTGATGCCAACGCCTTTGGGCTGAAGTCAGTGCCAACAGCTGTGCTGCAAAGCTAGGTGTGGTGATCTCAGCACTAGGCAGGAGGATCAGACATTTGAGATCATTCCTGGCTGCATAAAGAGATTGTGACCAACCTGGGCTACATGAGACCCTGTCTCATAAAAACAGAGGAGGGGAGCTGGGTGTGGTGGCCCACACCTTTAATCCCAGCACTCAAAAGTCAGAGGCAGAGGCAGGCAGATCTCTATGAGTCTGGTCTACATAGTTAGTGAGTTCTAGGTCAGCTGGGGCTACAGGGAGACCCTGTCTCAAAAGAACAAAGGAGGGGTTATGGAGATGGCTCAGTGAATAAAGCGCTTGTTACACAAGAGGACCAGAGTCTGGGTCCCTAGGCACCCACATGAAAGCCTGGTAGGTGTGGCCCATATGTAATCTTGTCTGTCACTCAGGACGTAGAGACAGGAGATCTGGGCCAAGCTAGCTAGCTACACTAGCTGGAGTCAGGGAGAGATCCTGCCTCAACATATGAAATAGAGAGCAGGTGAGGAGGACTCCCAACATCACTCTCTCCACATGCACTGGCACCAGCACACATGTCAACACACATCCACATACATGCACACCACACACACAGAGATACATGGGAAAAGCATGTGGGTGCCTGAAGGTAGGTGTGTTGGTGGGTGGTAGCAGCAAGCAGCAGGGACCTGGGAGGGGTTCAAGGTGACAGGACGGGACTGTACCAGGTATGTCATCAAGGATGCCCAGATGTTCCCTGAGAGGGCACAGGTAGGGGAGTGAGAGTGGGTGGACAGAGGGTATGGAATATGGAGGGGAGGGGACAGCTGGGTGTAGAGGACATCACGGTGAGGGGACACCAGTGTAAGGGACAGATGTGAGGTGAAGGATGTGTGGATGTGAGGGACAGGTAAGATCAGACATTCTGACATGAATGACCCTGTGGGTGGGTGCCACTGTGGTGGCTATGGTAGTGTTGGTGTGAGCGTGCCCTTTGTGTAGATCAAGGGCCTCCTTTGGGAGAACTGTCCTCTGTCCTGACACTCCTCCTCTGGGGCTGATACTGTATCCTTGGTTAGTTGGACCACACCTGTTTTCTAAGTTGGAACATTTTTCTGCGAGTCCTAGACCCAGCTAGTTCCTGTGTCTTGCTTCTGATGGTGTGTGTGTGTGTGTGTGTGTGTGTGTGTGTGTGTGTGTGTAGTGTCTGGGTGGTGAAGTTGTCTGCCCAGGTACCACAATACCTCTAGCCACCGAATCCAGCTCTGAGTTCCCAGGGCTTTGACCTCCCCCTAGAGGAGGGCTGAGTATTGGGGTCAGCTGTGGGTGGCTTCACAGGCTGCTGAGAACACTGAGGACTTTGGGCTCACAAGTCCCCCCTGTTCTCCCCCAGATCGTGTCAGCTGTGCATTATTGTCACCAGAAGAACATTGTTCACAGGGATCTGAAGGTAAGCCCTACCCGTGGTGATGCTGAGTATCCCAGCTCTGCCTGCTACCCCTCCACATCCTGTCCCCTCCTGCAGTTCCCAGCTATCCACAGCCTTGGGTGCTTTCACAAGCATTTGTGTCCTATGGGAGGTGGGAGGACAGGGGAGGGAATGAAGTGTCCTAGGATGACCATGGGAGGGACATCAGGGTACGATAAGGTGTCTGTCAATCAGCCTTAAAGGCCTCGGAGTGTCTCAGATGTGAGGACCTTCTGGAACCTGTGAGAATTTGGGTTTCAGAACCAAATCACTCGCAGAGTCTTAGAATTCCAGGGTCTAAGGATGGTTCACAGGCCACTGGGGCCAGCACCAAATAATGGGGAGGGGACCCCTGGGGCCAGACCCAGCTGCCTGCTGCAGCTGAACTGGACAGCCCCTGAGGGCTGAGTATTGGGGTCAGCTATGGGTGACCTGTCGCCAGGGTTGCCACCCACAGCCCCAGTCAGGAGCACAGAAATGTAAGACCAGGTTGGGCTTGAAGCAGGCTGTCTCAACCGTTCTTACTTGTGAGCGCCTACTGTGTGCTGGGTTGGGAACTAAGTAAGGGCTTTAAAAACAGGCTTCTAGGGGCTGGAGAGATGGCTCAGCAGTTAAGAGCACTGACTGCTCTTGCAGAGGACCCAGGTTCGAGTCCCAGCACCTACATGGCAGCTACAAACCGTCCTTAACTCCAGTTCCAGGGGAATCCAAAGCCCTCTTCTGACCTCCACGGCATTGCACGACACGGGTGCACTCACGTACATGCAGGCAGTACATCATGAGTACACATTAAAAAAAAAAAACAAACAGGCTTCTACAACCTGGGGGAGTGTGCAGCGATGACTGAGTGGTAAAGGCTCCTGCTGTGTCAGTCCACCTGAGTTCCAGACTCCATATCCACATGGTAGAAGAGAACCGACTGCTCAAAGTTGGGCCCTGACTTCCACATGTACTCCTTAATGCATGCACCCCTCCCCTATCACACACACACACACACACACACACACACACACACACACACACAGAGTAATAACCAAAAACAAAACAAAAAGCCAGGCGTGGTGGTACATGCCTTTAATCCGAGCACTCCGGAGGCAGAGGTAGGCAGATCTCTGTGATTGGAGGTCAGCCTGGTCTCCATAGTGAGTTCTAGGTTAGCCAGCGATACACAAAGACTTTCATAAAAAGTGCAAGCCTCATTTCAGAAAGTATCACTAGATTCCAGAGACCCAAAGCTCACTGAGGAATGGCTGTGGAAGCTTGATAGTTTCTCTACCTGTGAGCGTCTCCTGCTTGGCAGAAGGTGATAAGTAATGTGGAGGTTGTGTGCCCCCTAGTGGATGATACTGGAAGTGACTCAAGTGATTTCCCAGCTCTTGTGCAAACCCAGGCCATCAAACCCAAGGTAGAGAGGCTGGATTGTGGAGTGTCGGCTGTCAGGAAATAAGGTCACCAGGCAGAGATGTGGCTTGGTCTGTAGAGTGCTTGTCTAGCATGCACAGAGCCCTGGGCTTCATCTGCAACACTGTATAAACTGGGCATGGTGCTGCATGCCTGTCATCCTAGCACTGACTAGGGAGGCTGAGGCAGGAGGATCACAAGTTGAAGGCCAACCAACTTTTGACCATTTCTACCTTCTGACCTCTGTCTCACTCAGGCTGAGAACCTGTTGCTGGATGCTGAGGCCAACATCAAAATCGCCGACTTTGGCTTCAGCAATGAGTTCACGCTGGGTTCCAAGCTGGACACATTCTGTGGGAGCCCCCCATACGCCGCCCCAGAACTGTTCCAGGGCAAGAAGTATGACGGGCCAGAAGTGGACATCTGGAGTCTCGGTGTCATCCTGTACACACTGGTCAGCGGCTCCCTTCCCTTCGATGGACACAATCTCAAGGTGCCAGGGATAGTGGGATATGGGACTGGCCCTCCACTGCAGGGCACTGATGTCACATGGCCCAATGGGAAGCACACGTGACCCAGGTCCCTGCTGCCCTAAGACAGTCCTGTGACTGGTGGTGTTTGTGCTCAGGGTGTGACCTGTGTACCTGATGGATTTTGGTTCCAGCCCCTGGCTTACTCTGGAAAGAGTCATTGGAAACTTCTGGGTGAGGCTTTTCAAAGACAGTGTGTGCAAGAAAGGCAGAAAGGCTACACCAGGGTGATCCTCAAAAGGCTACACTCGGCTCAGAGACAGAATCTAGTGACAGAAGGCCACGGTGGGATTTCATTTCTATGCACTGTCCAGAACAGAAAATTAGCATAAAGAGGAAGCTGATTGTAAGCTACCTAAGGCCGGGTGGGGGAGGAGAGAGCTAGTTGACAGCTAAAGGGGTCAGGGCTATTGCTGTGTATGGTGCTAGGGCTGGAACCCAGGCAGGGACTATGACATGCAACACAAGGGTTCTACCACTGAGCCACACCCCAGCCCCTCACTGGGGGATCCTAGGTAGGTGTTCTACAACTGAGCCACACCCCAGCCCCTCACTGGGGGATCCTAGGCAGGTGCTCTACCACGGAGCCACACCCCTAAGTCCCCCTCAGGGATTCTTTTGAAATGATGAAAAATATTGTGAAATACATTGTGCAGCTCAGTGAATATAGGAAAAGCCCCGAGTTGTACATTTATAAAATGAAATGTGTTTGTTCTGACACCAGGTCTGGTGGGACACCCTAGCACTGAGGAGACTGAGGCAGGAAGATTACAAATTTAAGACCAGCTTGGGCATCTTAGTGTGAACATGCTTCAAAACAAAAAGTAGAGGGGCTGGAGAGAGGCGGCTCAGCAGTTAAGAGTGTGTACCGCTCTTCTAAAGGACCAAGGTTCAGTTCTCAGCACACATGACAGACGACTCACAGCTGACTATAAATCTAGCTCGGGAGGGATCTGATGCCTCTGGCCTCAGTGAGCACCTATACTCAAGTGTACATACCCACACAGACACACACACACCAGCCAGGCATAGGGGTACACGATTTCATTTCTTTTCTTTTTGGTCTTTTTGAGACAGGGTCTTCCTGTAGCCCCAGCTGGCCTGGAAGTCACGATATAGACTAGGCTGGCCTCAAACTCAGAGATCCACCTGCCTCTGCAGGGCGCATGATTTTAATCTCCGAATTCTAAAGGCAGAGGCAGATGAATCTCTGTAAATTTAATGCCAAGCCAACTGGGGCTACATGGTAAGACTTTGTCTCAAAAAAAAGGGAAAAAAAGAAAAAAATAAATCTTTTTGGGGCTGGGCACTGGTTGCTCTTGTAGAGGACCTGGATTCAGTTCCCAGCACCCACGTGGCAAGTAACAATCATCTTAACTCCAGTTTCAGGGCATCTGGCACCCTCTTCTGCTTCCACAGGCATTGCACACACGTGGTGCCCTTATATACATTTAGGCAAAACATATATGCACATAAAATAAATTTTAAAAATTAAAAAAAAAAGCAGGGCGTGGTGGCGCACACCTTTAATCCCAGCACTTGGGAGGCAGAGGCTGGCAGATCTTTGTGAGTTCGAGGCCAGCCTGGTCTACATAGTGAGTTTCAAGCCAGCTGGGGCTACAGGGAGACCCTGTCTCAAAAAAGACCAACAAATAAAATAAAATAAAAACTGGGCGTGGTGGCGCACACCTTTAATCCCAGCACTCAAGAAGCAGAGGCAGGCGGATCTCTGTGAGTTCGAGGCCAGCCTGGTCTCCATTAGCAAATCCAGGCCAGCTGCGGTTACAGGGAGACCTTGTCTCAAAAAGACCAAAAAAATAAATAAATAAAAAGTGAAAAATAAAGTAAAAAGAGAGCTGAGAATGTAGCTCAGTGACAGAGTGCTTGCTCGGCATGCCCGAGGGCCTGGGTCCCATCCCCAGCACTGCAAAACCGTCAAACAAAAAAATCCGGAAAAAAAAACAAGAAAAAGAAAAAATTTCCATCCTCATGTATAGACATTTCAGCAGCGGAGCCAGGCAGAAAACAAAAAGTGAACAAAACAGAAAATTCTGTCAGTTGCTGCCCAGTGCTGGGGAGGAAAAGATAACTGGATGCCACTGGGAAGGGTGGGGTGTGTCCTTGGCTGACTTGGGGGTTGCTTTGTTATGGTTCCTTTGAACTTTTCCCTTTGAAACGTTGCCAGTCCACGGAAAAGTTGCAGAGAAACAAACCCAGATACACCAGGAGATCCGCAGTAGCTGGCTCTGTCACCTTGCGTGTGCACATAGCCATGTCCCTCTCTTTTCGGTCATTATTGATAGACCCCTTGGACAGATCACTGTGGACACTGTGTCCATCTGTCCCTAAAGGCCACAGTGGTTATCTCCTGAGACTAGAGATGTTTTCCTGTGGCTGGTCATACAGAAGAAATGCAGTTGAGACAGTCCCGCCTCTACCCTCTTGGCTGCACTAACTTGTCTTTTTGTTTTAAGATTATCATTGGTAGCTGGGCGTGGTGGCTCTTGCCTTTAACCCCAGCACTTGGGAGGCAGAGGCAGAACTCAACTCTCTGTTGAGTTCAAGGCCAGCCTGGTCTACATAGTGAGTTCTAAGACAGCTGGGGCTATAGGGAGACCCTGTCTCATAAAGACAAAAAAAAAAAAAAAAAAAAAAAAAAGAATATCACTGATGATTCTTTTTCTTGCTAGTCCAAGGTCCCCAGGTGCATCCAGTCTCTTGTCACTTGGAACATTTCTCAGCATTTTTGAGGTGCTGGGTATGCTTCAGGCATGTTATTTTGTGCACTATCACTAAGCCACACCCCAGCCCCTCACTGGGGGATTCTAGGCAGGTGCTCTACCACCGAGCCACACCCCAGCCCCTCACTGGGGGATCCTAGTCAGGTGCTCTACCACTGAGTCACACCCCAGCCCCTCACTGGGGGATCCTAGTCAGGTGCTCTACCACTGATTCACACCCCAGCCCCTCACTGGGGGATCCTAGTCAGGTTCTCTACCACTGATTCACACCCCAGCCCCTCACTGGGGGATTCTAGGCAGGTGCTCTACCACCGAGCCACACCCCAGCCCCTCACTGGGGCACTCTAGGCAGGTGCTCTACCACTGAGCCATGTCCCCAGCCCCTCACTGGTGAGTTCAAAGCTAGCAGTCTCTTAGTTTTTTCAACACTGACCTTTGGTGGCTAGTATTTTGCAGAGTGCCCCTCATTCTGGGTGGCCTCGTGTCCTCTTGTGGGTGGCTGTGGGAGGTTAGTTTCCAGAGAAATTCAACAGAACAGTGCTGTCTTGCTGTGCACCAGGGAGGATTGAGCAGCACAGGAGAGCAATGCAGTAAAGCAGAGGGCGTCTTTTACCTGATGGCCTAAGCCAAGTTTTTTTTTTCCTCCCTAACATTCCCCATTCTGTAACAGCAGCTTGTGCACTTACTGAGGTGAGACCAGTGAGGGTTCAGGATATAGGCTCAGCTTTGCAAAGTCCCTAGAACCGGGGAAGGATGGCTCCTGTAGTAGAATTATTTTTAGCAACTCCATGTGTGAAGCTAAGAGACCTTTTCACACGGCAGCACTAGTATCTTAGCTGCCCCAGGCCCTTGTCACGTTCACTGTCCTAGTTTTCCCATTAGACACTAATCTATCAGGATTTTGATTTTTTATTTATTTATTTATTTGTCATTCTTTTCTTCTGTATGTGGTGCTTGTATGTGTGTTTTTTTATTTACTTATATGTCTGGTGTATGTTTGTACACATTCCTGTAGGTGCCCTTGGAGGCTAGAAAAGGGGGGCTGTTAGAGGTGGTAGTGAGCTTCCCTGATGGTGGCAGGAACCAAACTCAGGTCCTCAGGAAGAGTAGCAAGCCCTGTTAAACCCTGAGCCATCTCCAGCCCTGAACGTTTTATGTGGTGTTTGTGCATGCACATGTGTGCTTGTTACACATGGGTGCAGGTGTATTTAGAAGCCCAGGGTTGCTGCCAAGAATCACTCTCAATCTTTCCACCCCATTCATTGAGGCAGGGTCTCTCAATCAAATCTGAGCTTACTGATTCAGTGAGTCTCAATAGCCAACTTGCTCTGGGGATCTCCTGTCTCTGCCTGCCAAGGCTGGAATTATGGGCCACCACACCCACATGGCATTCACAAGGGTTCTGGGAATCCAAACTCCAAGTCTTCAGCTATTCTGTGTCCTCACTTAACCACTGAGCATCTCCCAGTCCAGTCATGTTCTTTCTGAATAACCTTGGCTAAGTTCCTTTTTGATCTTCTGTTCCTACCAGGAAGGTGAGAACATATTGAAAATATCCACTTGAAGCCTGGCATATTGGTACACGCCTTTAATCCCAGCACAGAGACAGAGGCAGGCGGATCTCTGAGTTCAAAGCCAGCCTGGTCTACATAGCAAGTTCCAGGACAGCTACAGGGAGACCCTATCTCAAAAACACCAAAAAAAAAAAAAAAAAAAAAGTATCCACTTGAACCAAGTGTGGTAACCCCATCACAGGGGAGCACTGGGAGTTCATGGTTAGCCTGGTCTACATAGTGAGACTCTGTCTTTCTGATGCAAAAATAAATAAATAAACACATGAAGATCCAAGGAGATGCTTCTCTGGAGAGGAGAGGTATTGTAGTCTCTGGAGAGAGGTTGTAGGTGGGGGACAGTGACATTCCCATTGTGAATCTAGATTTAAATAGTATTTACTTTGAGGCTGGGGCTGTAGTTCGGTTGGTAGAGTGCTTACCTAGCATTCAGGAAGCCCCAGGTTCAGTCTCCAGCATTGTGTAAATCAGGGGAGGGCATGGAATGGTGTGTGCCTGTAACCTTAAGCACCCCAGAGGTGGAGGCAGGAGAATCAGGAATTCAAGGTCATTCTTGGCTACATAATGAATTTGAGGCCAGCCTTCTAGGCTATATGAGATCCTAGCTCAAAATTCAGAAAAAGGTGGGTGGGGTTGGAGATGGCTCAGCAGGTAAGAGCACTGCTCTTGCAGAGGACTTGGGTTCAGTGCCTAGCATCCATGTTAAATGGCTCACAACCGGCTGTAACTCCATCTCCAAGGGATTGGACATCCTCTTTGGCCTCTGTGGGTACCTGCATACATGTGGTATAGACACACAGACAAAAACACGTATACATAAATAACAAAAATTGTAAATCCCCAAAAAATAAAAAAGGAAAATTATTTCGTTAAAAGCAACTTTAAAGGACTGGAGAGATGGCTCAGCAATTAAGAGCACTGGCTAAGCAGGGCATGATGGCACATGCCTTTAATCCCCAGTACTCAGGAGGCAGAGGCAGGAAGATCTCTGAGTTCGAGGCCAGTCTGGTCTCCAGAAGACGAAAAAAAAAACACTGGCTGTTCTTGCAGAGGACCTAGATTTGGTTCCCAGTACCCATATGACAGCTAACAACCATCCATAACTTCAGTTCCAAGGAATGCAATGCCTTCTTCTGGCCTTTACTACACAAGTGCACTTATATACATGCAGGCAACACACATAAAATAAAATATAACAAAAATTTTTAAAGAAATTGTAAGGGGTTTTTCAACCTCCATCGGTGCAGTGGCTCTGATCTCAGTGCCGAGTTCTGGCCTCCCTCTCACCTCCCTCTGGCAGAGGGCCTGAGAATGCAGGGGACTGCCTGAGAGCCCCCGGATCCTGCCTCCACGTGGTGACAAATATCCCAGTCACCACTCATCAAAGAAACTCATTTTGTACCAGTTGGAGACTATTACCAAGTACCACAACTGATCACACATGGATATTGTCTATGAATTGCTCAGCCCTAAATGACACATCTACAATGTAGTCTACACCTAAGGCTCATGGAACATAGAATAGGAGTAAAGAAGATGATAATTAATGAATCTATCAGTTCTCATAATGAAGCTCCTTCATGCAGTAGTGGACCAGGAGTACAAAAAGCCACAAATGGCCAAACATAGAGATCAAGAGTGCTGAATGCTGGTCCTTGGACAGGACTCCTTTATTAAGCTTCACTCACCCAAGGCTCAGGGACCATTGTGGAAGAGGGGGCAGAAAGATTGTAAGAGCCAGGGAGGAGGTCCGGGACCACATGGAAACAGAGTCCTACAAGCTCTTGGGACCCTGCTCATATGAGTCTATGGCAATGGTGTCAGCATACACAAGTCCCATGCAAACTGAGGCAGACAGAAACCCAGCAGAGAACTGGGAAAATAAAAAGCAGGTCCTAATCTTATCTGAAGAAACATTGGCAACTGATTGCTGCTAGGTGAAGAAGAGACACAGATGGCCTTAACAGGAATGACAGAGTATATTGACTCGGGGGGGGGGGCTGTGGGAGGTTGCTGGTGAGGACTAGGGTATAGAGATGGTTAAGAATTGATTGAAGCCAGGCGTGGTGGTGCATGCCTTTAATCCCAGCGCTCGGGAGGCAGAGGCAGGCAGATCTCTGTGAGTTCAAGTCCAGCCCGGTCTACATAGTTCCAGGACAGCTGGGGCTACAGGGAGACCCTGTCTCAAAAAGAACCCCCAAAGGAAAAAGGATTGAGATATTCTGTATGCAAAAATTCAATAAAAGCAAATTAGAAAAAAACTGTAAGGGTTGGGGATATGGCTCAGTTGGTAGATTGCCTGTGTAACATGCACGAAGCCCTGGTTTCCATCCCCAACACCACAAAGACTGGGTGTGCAAACTCACACTTGTCAAATCCCAGCTCTTGAGAGGTCGAGGCAAAGCTATCAGAAGTGCAGTTATCCTTCATTATGTACCAAGTTCCAGGCCAACCTGTGTTAGAGACCCCATCTCAGTGAGAGAGAGGTAGAGGTGTATGTAAGTGTAAGAACTTTAATGTTGCTGTGTCTGGGGCTGGAGAAATGGCTCAGCAGTTAAGAACACTGGCTGCTCTTGCAGAGGACCCAGGTCCAATTCTTAGTACCCACATGGTGACTAACAGCCATCTATAAGTCTAGTTCCAGGGAATCCAATGCCCTTTTCTGGCTTCTGCGGGCACTGCATGACATGGGTGCACTTACATGCAGGCAAAATATTCATTCATATAGCCACGTGTGGTGGCACATGCCTGTAGTCCCAGCACTCGGGAAGCATAGGCAGGCGGATCTCTGTGAGTTCAAGGCCAGCCTGGTCTACAATAGTGAGTTCCAGGACAGCTGGGGCTATAGGGAGACCCTGTCTCAAAAAGACCGAAAAAAAAAAAAATCATGCATAAAATAAAAAGAAATAGATCAAAAAAATTAAACTGCTGTATGTAGGGCTAGAGAATTGGCTTGGTGGTTAAGAGTACTAGCTGCTCTTGCAAAGGACCTGGGTTCATTTCTCAGTACCCACATGTTGACTAACAACCATAAGTCCAGTTCCAGGGAATCCTACATCCTCTTCTGGCCTCCATGGGCACTGCATGTACGTAGTACACTTAACATATGCAAGCAAAGTATGCATACACATAAAATAACTTTTTTAAACCCTGCATCTTAGCACCCCTGTTTCATAGATGTAAGAGTGAGGTCAGGAAAGTAGGGCTGGGACTTTGAACACATCACTTTTACCTGACAATGTGGACAAAGTTGCATGTGAGAAAGAGACCTGGCTTTGGAGGCATACACACCATCCCCAGCAACTGTATCCTGTCCCTGCAGGAGCTTCGAGAGCGAGTTCTCAGGGGAAAGTACCGAGTCCCCTTCTACATGTCCACAGACTGTGAGAGCATCCTGCGGAGATTTTTGGTGCTGAACCCAGCTAAACGCTGTACTCTAGAGGTGAGCCCCAGCCGGTGGCCCTTCCCATCTTCTGATCCCGTGGCCCAGTCTCCCCACCAGATCTGCTCCAACCCTAATATAGATAGACAGCTAGGTAGAGGCTCGGGGTGGTCCCAGAGCCACCCCCTCCTTGCCACGCTAGTAATTAACTAATGAACTCTTAGGATGATTATAGTGTTCTGGGGGTACAGATGATGTGGAGGAGGAGGAGGGTGGCAGGGAAGGCTGAGGTGGGGGGGTGGGGACTGTTCCCTAGGTCTTAGCAAGTCTTTGATTTGCGGGTGTTAAGCTAGGCAGAGAGCCCCACTTGGGAGATGGCTATGCTCACAGTTTCTGGTTCCTTCTAACGCCTCTCTCCCCCTTCTCAGCAAATCATGAAAGATAAGTGGATCAATATCGGCTATGAGGGTGAGGAGTTGAAGCCATACACAGAGCCCGAGGAGGATTTCGGGGACACCAAGCGAATCGGTGAGGGTCAAAGAGGCAGCTGCCCCAAGGGGTCAGAGGCAAGGCCATGGCACGGAGCTGCCACAACCTGCCTCTTTTGGTCACTGTCTCAGAGAATCTCACCAGGCAGCTATGGGGAGTGGTTGGTAGAGGGGATCCTGCACAACCCTGTCCCAGCTGTTCTAGATATTTTCCCCCTCTCTGCTTCTAGGTCCTCATTTAGGAAATGGGAATATTCAGAGAAGTTAGCTCAGATTTTGAACATGTTATGGGAGGGAGTTGGTTGGTTCACATAGTATTCACGTCAGGGCCTGGTGGGAAAATGCTGATACCTGATGTGGTGTAGCTTTAATTATTAAGATTTGAAAAGAGCCAGCCATGATGGCGCACGCCTTTAATCCCAGCACATGGGAGGTAGGGGCAGATGGATCTCTTGAGTTCAAGGCCAGCCTGGTCTACATAGAGAGTTCTAGGCCAGCTAGGGCTACAAGGAGACCCTGTCTCAAAAAGACCAAAAAAAAAAAAAATTTGAGGTGACTCAGGATCAGAAGACTTGCTACTCTTGCAGAAGACCCAAGTTCAGTTCCCAGCACCCATATTAGGCAGCTCACATCCACCTGTAACTACAGCTCCAGGGGATCTGACACCCTCTTCTGGCCTCTGAGGGCACTGTACTTACATGCACATACCCACATGCAGAAATACACATAATTTAAAAATAAAACAAATTCTGGGGCTGGAGAAATGGCTCAACAGTTAAGAGCATTGACAGCTCTTGCAGAGGACCCAGGTTTGATTTCCAGCACCCACCTGGAGGCTAACAACTGTCCATAACTCCAATTCCAGGGGATCCAACACCCTCTTCTGACCTCCATGGGCGTTGTATAACACAGGTGCACTTACCTACATGCAAACAATACACTCATACACATAAAACAAAAATAATAGGGGCTGGAGAGATGGCTCAGCAGTTAAGAGCACTGACTGCTATTGCAGAGGACCCAGGTTCAATTCCCAGCACCCATCTGGCAGCTACGAACCAGTAACTCCAGTTCCAGGGGATCCGATTCCCTCTTCTGACCTCTTTGGGCATTGTATGACACAAGTGCACTTACATACACATAAAATAAAAATAATAAAATATTTTTTGAAAAAATAGTAAATTCTTTTTTTTTTTTGAGACAGGGTCTCCCTGTAGCCCCAGCTGGCCTGGAACTCACTATGTAGACCAGGCTGGCCTTGAACTTAAGAGATCTGCCTGCCTCTGCCTCCTGAGTGCTGGGACTAAAGGTGTCTACCACCATGCCTGGCTATAAAATAATTTTTTTTTTAATTTTTTTTTTTTCTATTTGAAGCAGGGTCTTCCTGTAGCCCCAGCTGTCCTGGAACTTACTATGTGGACCAGGCTGGCCTTGAACTCACAGAGATCTGCCTGCCTCTGCCTCCCAAGTGCTGGAACTACAGGCGTGTGCCACCATGCCCGGCTAAAATAAATTCTTAAAAAAAAAAAAGACATGAAAAGAAATCATAGATCAGCCAAGCATGGTGGTACAACCCTATAATCCCAGCACTTAGGAGGTATAGACAGGAAGATCAGGAGTTCAAGGTCATCCTCAGCTACATCATGAGTTCAAGGCCAGTCTAGGCTACATGAGACCTTGGTAAAAAAAAAAAACAAAAAAACAAGAACCATTCCATTCCATGGCTGAGGAAAGAGGCCACTATAGGAACCTACCACATTAGTCAGAACTTTCATGATTGATTATAACTAATAGAAAATATCATTATAATAATAATAGTTTAAGGTCTGGGTATCCCTGAGCCAGTAGCCCTTGCCTAGAATTCCCCAGTGAGGGGCTGGGGTGTGGCTCAGTGGTAGAGCATCTGCCTAGAATCCCCCAGTGAGGGGCTGGGGTGTGGCTCAGTGGTAGAGCCCCTGCCTAGGATCCCCCAGTGAGGGCCTGGGGTGTGGCTCACTGTTGAGTATTTAAACAGCTTGCATGAGGCTCTGAATTCCATTTCCAGTTCAAAACAAAACAAACAAAACACAAAGAAATCTCTATGCACTATGGGCTGGCTAAATCCAGCCACTCGGCAAGCACAGAGCCTCTGTTTTATGCTTGTTCTGACCCAATGAATGTGACTTTGGGGATGGAACATTCTGATTGCTTAGAAATAGGTATTGTACCTGTGTTGAACTAACCAGTGTGTCCTTGGGAGTCAAACACTGTGGTTGACCAGACCTAGGTCATAAGCCCACCCTGTATATGAGCAGTAGGGGTTAGCTACCCTGTCTCAGAGGAGAAAGGAGGGTAGACACTGTCAAGGGACAGTTTAGGGAAGGAGGCTGATCCTTCTTTCTATCTCTCCCAGAGGTGATGGTGGGTATGGGCTACACTCGGGAAGAAATCAAAGAGGCCTTGACCAGCCAAAAGTACAATGAAGTGACAGCCACCTACCTCCTGCTGGGCAGGAAGACTGAGGTCAGAAGTTGTGGAGCTTCAAGCAAGGGTGGAAGAGGGACTTGGGGTGAGTATCAGGAATTGGGTCACTTAAAATGCTTTGTGCTTTCTCTCATAGGAAGGTGGGGACCGGGGTGCCCCAGGGCTGGCCCTGGCACGGGTGCGGGCGCCCAGCGACACCACCAACGGAACAAGTACCAGCAAGAGCAACAGCCACAGCAAAGGGCAGCGGAGCTCTTCCTCCACCTACCACCGCCAGCGACGACACAGTGACTTCTGTGAGTGTGGCCCCTCAGCTCCCAGACCGTCCCCTTCCAACAGACAGTCTAGCCCAGTTTCGATTGACAGCTACCTGTAGCTGCCAGAGGAACATTTTATTACTGTTGTTTGTGGTTTGGAGACGGGATCTTGCTATGTAGTCCAGGCTGTCTTCAAACTTATCATTATGCCTTAGCCTCCCAAGGGGTGGGATTGCCCACCAGGATTAGGAGGAATGCCTCATGCCAGGAGAGGTGCTGCTCAGATTTGGAGGCAGACTCGGGAAGGAATGACACCTGGTCAAGCATCCAGACCTGGCCCGTGCTCACTGCATCCTCTGTGTTTGTCTGGGTTTTCCTTTTCCTTTCTTGATCTCTCAGCTCACAGAGCTTTTCTGTCTAGATAGTCTCCCACAGTCCCTGAGATTCCCTTCCCAAGTGATTCAAGACTGTGTCCAGTTGACATTCAACACTGGCCATCACAGTTACTAACGATCCACAGCAAATGTTAGACCACTCCACCTATTGTTTGTGTGAGACGGGGTTGTGCTGAGTAACCCAGGCGGGCCTCAAACACAGGCTCTTCCTGTCTCAGTTTCCCAAGTGCTGGGATAACATGTGTGCACCACCACACCTGGTTCCCACTGTTCCCTTTTATTGTCTGTTTCCTTCTCTGTTCTCTTTCAACATCTTCAGTAAGATAAAATTCATAGACCATCCGATTCACCCATTTAAAATATACAACCTGGGACTGGAGAGGTGGCTCAGTGTTAAGAGCATTGACTGCTCCTACAGAGAACCTGGGGCTCAGATTCCAGCACCCACATAGTGGTTAACAACTGTCCTTAACTCCAGTTCCAGGGGATCTAATGCCCTCTTCTGGCGTCCATGGGCATTGCACACATAGGTGCTCTTACATACATGCAGGCAAAACACTCATACATATAAAAAAATATAATAAATAAATAAGCCGGGCGTGGTGGTGCATGCCTGTAGTCCCAGCACTTGGGAGGCAGAGGCAGGTGGATCTCTGTGAGTTCAAGGCCAGCCTGGTCTACATAGTGAGTTTCAGGACAGCTGGGGCTACAGGCAGACCCTGCTTCAAAAAGACAAAATAAATAAAAATAAATGAAATAAATAAATAAGTAAGTAAATAAATAAATAAAATATAGAGTGCAGCAACTATTATGTTTGCAGAATAGGAAGCCCCTTATCAGGGCCAACATTGCACCATTTCATGACCTCAGTAAGACTATTTCCAGGGCTTCTCCTTAGCTTCAGGGTGCACTCATCTCAGACGCTGGCAGCCTGTAGTCTACTGTTGGCCTGGGCTCACCCACCGTGGAAATCTCAGCATAGAATCAAACATTGCTTGGCCTTTTATGGAAATACCTTGAGTTATTTGCCTGTTTCTCTTCTCATGGGCACCTAGACTAGTGTCCACCTTTAGTCACGAAAATAAAAAGGGCTCGGGGTATGGCTCAGTGGTAGAGCCCTTGCCTTGTGTGGATAGGGCCCTGGGTTCCATCCCCAGTGCAGCAACAGAAAAGAAACAATGTGATGCCAGAGCCCAGTACACTGATAATCCCAATACAAGCCACCCTTGGCTGCTTCATAATGACTTCGGGGCCAACTTGGGCTGTATAATCTGTCCCAATCTCACCCCCCCAAACCAAGGAAAAAAGACAGAAAGAAAAGGTAGCTCATTTGGTAATGTTGTTTCCTTTTGGGTTTTTTTCAAGACAGGGTATCACTGTAGCCCCCACTGCAGCTGGCCTGGAATGTGTTATGTAGCCCAGGCTGGCCTCAGTATCACAGAGATCTGGCTGCCTCTGCCTCCAAATGCTGTGATTAAAGGTGTGTGCCACCACACCGAGCTGATACAGTGTTTTTTGGAGACAGGGTCTCACTATGTAGCCCAGGCTGACCTCAAACTCACAGAGATCCTTCTGAGGCAGGAGCAAGGCAAAATACTCCACAGGTTTCATGAAGATTTCTGATGTTCTGGGGATCTCCTGGGGTGCCTTCTATGTTTCCCTGGTGACCTCAGCTCTAACTGATCCCCTTCTTCCACCAGGCGGCCCATCCCCTGCCCCCCTGCACCCGAAGCGCAGCCCGACCAGCACCGGAGAGACAGAGCTCAAGGAGGAACGATTGCCAGGCCGCAAGGCGAGCTGCAGTGCGGCGGGCAGCGGGAGTCGTGGGCTGCCCCCCTCTAGCCCCATGGTCAGCAGTGCCCACAACCCCAACAAGGCAGAGATCCCCGAGCGACGGAAGGACAGCGCCAGCACCCCGGTGAGTGCCCAGGGTGGGTGGAAAGATGTGCAGCCCCCATATCACATGGCTGAGACCCTGCTCCATTCCCTTTCCCACAGCACCCACAGACATAACAAGCACTTATTGAGTGCTGTGTGTTTGCCCGAGAATGTGGCTGATGCTGTTGTAGAGATCAGAATTTGTTGCTTTCAGTGTAATAGCAGAGCCTGCAGGAGATGTTGGGCAGAGCCTACCAGAGCCAAGCAGCACTCAGAACCATACCATGGGCTGAGGAGATGGCTCAGTGCATAAGAGGGCTTGCTGCACAAGTCTGAGGACCTGAGTTTGAATCTCCAGCACCCACATGAAAAGCTAGGCATGGCCATATACCTGTAACCCCGTGGCTGTGGGGGTGGAGACAGGAGGATGGCCAGGTCTTGCTGGCTGACTGCCCAATTCCAGCTTCAGTGGGAGACTCTGTCTCAAGGGACTAAGGATAACCCATGTCCTCTGACTTCTGTAGGCACACATACCTGTACACATGTACATGTATACCATACAACCACATACACATCATAATCTGTCTGTCTCTCTGTCTCTGTCTCTCTCTCTCTCTCTCTCTCTCTGGTACTAGAAATTGAAGCCAGAGCCAGGGCCTCATGCATGCTAGGCAAACTCAACACTGGGCTGGCCACACCCCAAGTCCCTCCTGGGTGGATTCTCAACAAGCACTTTACTCCTGGCCTGTGTCCCCATATCCCTTTTATTCTTTGTCCAGTCTGGCCTTGAATTCATTATGTAGCCCAGGCTGGCCTTTAGCTTGAGATTCACATGCCTCCGTCTTTACTCACCCTTCTGTTCTTCCCCCCTTTTGTTGTTTTGAGACGAGTTTCTCTATGTGATTCTGGTTGGTCTGGAACTATAGCCCAAGCTGACTCTGAACTAGTGGTGATCCTCATGCTTACCATCCCCAAGCTCTAGGATTACAGGTGTGCACCACTAGGCCCACGTGACACGACGCACCTGTGGAAGTCAGAGGACAGCTTTGGGAATCGGTTTATTCCTTCCACCATGTGGGTCCTGGGAATTGAACTCAGGCTTCACGGCAAGAGCCTTTACCTACTGAGCCATCTCATCAGGCAACCTGTCTTTTTTTTTTTAATTAATTAATTTGTTTTTATTTTACATGTATGAGTATTATGCCTACATGTGTAAGTACACCGTGTCATGCAGTGCCCGAAGAGGACAGAAGAAGGCACCATGTGGGTGCTGGGATTCAAACTTCTCTTTTGCAAGAACAGCCAGTGTTTTTAACTGCTGAGCCATCTCTCCAGCCACCCTTCTTTATTTTTTTGTTAACCATCATGTGGATACTGGGAACTGAACCTGGATCCTCTGGAAGAGCAGCACACACTCTTAAACACTGAGCCATCTCTCCAGCCCCTACAATTCCAACTTTAGACAAAGATTTTAAAGTTTATATATGGGGCTGGAGAGATGGCTCAGTGGTTAAGAGCACTGGTGACTAATAATGCCCCACAACTTCAGTTCCAGGGGATCCAATGCTCTCATCTGACCACCACGGACATTGCATGATAAGGATACACTTACATACATGCAGGCAATATACTCATACACATAAAAAATAATAAATAAGCTGGGCATGGTGGCGCACGCCTTTAGTCCCAGCACTTGGGAGGCAGAGGCAGGCGGATCTCTGTAAGTTCAAGGCCAGCTTGGTCTACAAAGTGAGTTCCAGGCCAGCTGGGGCTACAGGGAGACCCTGTCTCAAAAAGATCTAAATAAATAAATAAGTAAATAAAATAATAAAAATTTTTAACTCTCTAAAAATTTATTTATTTTTATTTTATGTGTATGCATGTATTGCCTGCATATAGGTAAGTGTACCCATGTCATGCAATGCCCATGGAGGTCAGAAGAGGCTATCGGATCCCCTGGGACTGGAGTTATGGACAGTTGTTAGCTGCCATGTGGGTGCTGGGATTCAAACCCAAGTCTTCTGCAAGAACAACCAGTGTTCTTAACCTCTGAGCCATCTCTCCAGCCCCATAAACTATTTTTTTTAATTTATTTATTTTTGTTTTGTATGTAATTGCATCCTGATGCCCTCCTCTGGCCTCCACAAACATCAGGTCCTGTGGAACTGGAGTTACAGGTGGTTGTTAGCCACCATGTGGGTGCTGGGAATC